ACCAGCTGTCCGGAAAAGCACCAGACGGCCGTTTCGCCCTATTGGGGCTCATCAGTGGTGCGCATCCTTCGGTCCTCTGCCGTAACCGGGAAGTCCTGACGCCGGAAGGCCGACCGCTGTCATCTGCATGGCAGGTGCCTGCATGGCAGTGGAGGATGCGTCGGGCTATATCGCATTTAGCTAACAATTCACGATAGTTAGATACCGTCCTCCATGGCGCAGTTGCATAAGCTGCGGGCTAGTTGGCAAGCGCCACTAGCAGTCATGGGTTCGATCCTCCGCAGAGGACCGAAGGATGCGCACCACTGATGAGCCCCAATAGGGCAAAACGGCCGTCTGGTGCTTTTCCGGACAGCTGGTCGACATACCTGAATTGTCGGCTGATTGCGACGAACAAAATACTCACCAAAATCCTTCCATTCATAAGAAATACCAATTCGCCCGTACGGATTCCACAAAATGCTATGTCGATTCATAGCTGCCGTAACCGGGAAGTCCTGACGCCGGAAGGCCGACCGCTGTCATCTGCATGGCAGGTGCCTGCATGGCAGTGGAGGATGCGTCGGGCTATATCGCATTTAGCTAACAATTCACGGTAGTTAGATACCGTCCTCCATGGCGCAGTTGCATAAGCTGCGGGCTAGTTGGCAAGCGCCACTAGCAGTCATGGGTTCGATCCTCCGCAGAGGACCGAAGGATGCGCACCACTGATGAGCCCCAATAGGGCGAAACGGCCGTCTGGTGCTTTTCCGGACAGCTGGTCGACATATCTGAATTGTCGGCTGATTGCGACGAACAAAATACTCGCCAAAATCCTTCCATTCATAAGTAATACCAATTCGCCCGTACGGATTCCACAAAATGCTATGTCGATTCATAGCTGCCGTAACCGGGAAGTCCTGACGCCGGAAGGCCGACCGCTGTCATCTGCATGGCAGGTGCCTGCATGGCAGTGGAGGATGCGTCGGGCTATATCGCATTTAGCTAACAATTCACGATAGTTAGATACCGTCCTCCATGGCGCAGTTGCATAAGCTGCGGGCTAGTTGGCAAGCGCCACTAGCAGTCATGGGTTCGATCCTCCGCAGAGGACCGAAGGATGCGCACCACTGATGAGCCCCAATAGGGCGAAACGGCCGTCTGGTGCTTTTCCGGACAGCTGGTCGACATACCTGAATTGTCGGTTGATTGCGACGAACAAAATACAATACTAGCGTGTCCATTTCGTTGAAAAATGTGTCCTTAGTAGCATCAGAATTTTAGACTATGGGAGAATAGGCGGAAACTACCAGCAAACGTCTTGTACTAGTTCCTGAATTAACTTTACTCTATGTTGTCAAACGAGCTGCACACACGGTTGTTCACCAGCGATGACTCAGTTTTGGAGCTGAGAACAAAGCCCACCCTGGCTTTGCCAGTTGTTGCCGCATTAACGTCTCCGGATGCTCACAATCAATAGCGAAAGTACAAGTTTCGGACACGCAACGCATGTCGATACCGAGGGTGTCCAATGTGCGTGCATTTGTAACCTGTTGACATAATCGTCTTAGAGTGCGAACTTTAAACCCTGCCATGAAAACTGGACAGTATGGCCTTATAATGAATTGTTACCGATAGGCGTCCATTGGGTGGTTCGGGAAGGTAGCCGCAGATGGTTCGACTCCAGTAGCTTTACGGTTGCTGTCACTTAATCTAGGAATTATGGAAGGAATGTTAGTAATGGGGGTTGGGAGGGGCGTAAGAGAAACCGTTGTCAAGGAAAGAAGGCAGGTGCCAGCAATGGCATATTTTCGCCTATCCGTCCTGTCGCATGTAGCAGATAAATCGACGCTTGATAATCTGGCAACAATCGTTGCAGGATGTGGTTACATTTTGAGAAAAGCATCATGGTTGTACATGGGATGAGATACTCCCAGGGGGGCCAGACCCAGACAGGCGAATGATTAGGGTCCTTAACCAAAGCCTTTTGCTCAAAAGCCTGTCCGCAAGTCAGCGGGTGGCAACGATTCGGTTTTTCACAAATGGACGCCATACCTTTTTAAACCCCTAACCTGGAGGACCAGGAGACTGAGTTCGTCTGACTTTTAACCATTAACCCACATGGTACAAGCCCGGAGGCACCACACACTGAAGTTCAGTGAGCTGGAGGGGTACACGAACCGTCCATCACGTTAGGGTCCGGTTTCGTTGCGATGTTTGCGATGTATATGCTTGCATGTGGAGACCTATCGCTTTATTCTTTAACAGGTACTCATCTATAAAGTGTGAGGCTGAGGGTTACTTTGTTGCTACTCCCTCGAAGTTATCCATCGAATTGCTGATCTACGCAGCTGTATTGACTCGATTCGACTGAGTCTAGAGCGTCATAAGCGAGGTGTGTTCGAAGACTATGCCAAACAAGCGCATGCGCACGGCCTGACAGTGATGTACTACATCGACACGGCGGACAGACCATGATTGGCCACGCGGGAACTAACAAATTGGGGTGCACCGCGGTAGCCAGTTGGTAGACACTTGCGCCCGTATAAGGACGTATGTTATACCTTCAGTGTATCTGTCGGGGCTCCAGTCAGAGATCACAGAGGACAGCATTAGAACTGTACACCTATGCGCTCTGAACAGTGTTATTCTGTTTACCTGAGCTGACCACTTTGTGCCTGACACTAAACGCCTGATCGTCGGTGTTCGCAAAATATTGCTCGAATCTAGTGTGAGCACCGAACCAGCAATACTAGTCACACATTGGTTCTTGAAAAGTCTCTGGTACCGCACATGACTATTTGTTAAATCTGATCCGCTAGCGTTGGCCAAATTATGTCCTTCGTATTCATATTGATGGCCCATTATGGCGTGCATTGCTTACCAATGTTACCGACGACGAGACATCAGCCTTCTCGTTAAGAACAGTGTGCAGCATTGCATTGCAAGCGATACTGCTGCATGGATAAGGAACATGACCATTGGGGTTGAGGACGTCAAGAGGTTCTTTGTTATTTTCGTAGAAATTAGCAGCCACGAGTAAACTTCGCACAATAATCTGCCTTGACGGGGAATCGAACCCCGAACTCACGGATTACCGGTCCTTTGCTCTACCACTGAGCTACCGAGGGCTGACGATCAGGTGCGCAATTTAATACATGGCTTCTGCATGGTTCGCGACGTATTGCCAATGAGCTCACAGTATCTGTCCTGGTGTTGCAGATTGACTCACTCGTCACTTCCCAATGGATCTGTGCCTGCCTAATATCACCGAGATATGCTGCTTCATTTTTATCCTATCACTTCTGTATGTTCATTTGATCTTCACTTGAAATTGAGCCGCTTACCTTAGTTAACACATACTTCTCCCATGTCTGACGTTGTGCTTGTAACATCTTTGCAGATCACTCTTTGGAGTGAAACCTCAGTCCGTGATGTAGAAAAAAGACATGGTGTTAAATGGTACCATTGATCAGATTGAGTATCGCCACGTATCTTCTTCAGGGCCTCATAACCGGTCACATTAGTGACCAAGAACCCTATTCGTCATGGTAGACTAGTGTTGTTCCATGGCGCCTATGTATTCCCTCTCTTGTCTTCGTCTGGTGTCCAGCACGTTATTGAAGGTATCAGTATTCCACTCTATTCATTCCACAGGTCACCTCACACCTGCTTATACCTCCGCCCCTGAGACGGGATTTAGTGTTCCGCCTATTCATTAGCGATGCATTCTCTCCTCTAACTCCTCATGGGGCTTGGTGTGCTAAAGCGCACTCGTTGTCTGATCGAGTGTGGATTCCAATGAACCAGTAGTTTGCCTTTCCTGTGAATTTAACCGAAAGACTATCGATGCTTCATACAGTTACAAACTGACAGCCGAATTTTGCCATTAATTTACACATTTCATATTTATCCTGTTCCTGTTGCTAAATATTTCCATACAAATTTGTTAACTTATTTTTTTCTCTTGCACATCTCTATCACGTTTATCTTGTTGTGCTGTTTTTGTGACGTGTTCCCGATCATCATTGTTCTAACTACTTGTGAATTTACTGTTGTCCTGTTTGCAAGTCGTTTCACTTATTTGTAAATCCACCGTATGCTTTTGTATAAACTACGATTTAAGAACCACGCTTAATATCCCATTTATTCCGCCCACCGCCCTAACTTTTGCTGCACAGACCGTGCATTATTTTAATCAATCGGCCTGCTCTCCCTAACTCAATAGCGGTAACATCGAGTATTGTCCTCCTAGTTACTTCGATCCCAGGTCTTCGTCATTCTTCCCAAGCTCAAATAACTCACTTCATTTGTTTCCTGCCTGTTGAGGTTAATCAAGGATACGAACATTATTCTTCGATGCCTTCTTGGCATCTACCGATTGATTTAGCGATTGCTGCCTTTTTATTGGCTATGAAAGAGACGATTCAGAATCTTTCGGCTCTCTGTCTCCTTAAGTATCACTGTGCACGGGTGATCGCGTTGACCCTGGACATCACTTGGGGTGATAAAATGCAGAAGTCAGTAGCCTTTATTACTGTTTTCATTTCCTTGACACCATACGCAGTACCATTCTAGTGGCTTAGTGATATACAGCAGTACCGGCACTTTGTTGCCGTGCAATCGTCACCAGTCGCACGTGCGCTAAGGGTACTGTGAGGGTCGCCTGCTCCCCTACGCAAGCTAAAACCCGCGCTTTCGGATTACAAGGCAGGCTCGTGATCCGTTAGGCTGGCAGTGATTTACAACATATGCTAATGCTTCTGTTGCTCTCATACCTTGTGCTCGACATAAGGCAAAGGCCAAAATTCTGGTGCGATTACGATGTTTCTTCTGCCACCTCGTCGGATTTCAGCTTACGGATGCCTGTCACCAGTTTTTACCCTAATGGCTTAAGCCTAACCAAACTCCGAATGTCTTACACTGTCGTCACACTTACGAATAGCTTTATTCGGTGTGCTGGGAATATTTCCTCCTGATGCCTCACTTTTCGAACTCTGCTCTTTACTCCCGTCCTGCAGGTCGCGGTCCGCGCCTACCTCCCAACCGAGGTGGTTCAACGGGCCTTCTCCCTAGCACCGCAATACACACTGGCTTTCCATTTGGCTTGTCCGCCTCCGCTTTGAACCCCCTGAGTGGCGGCAGCTCACTGATTCCATCCTGGCCTCCACCCACTCGTACCATGTGCGTTCACTTACACACCATGTTGACTTTCCAAAACACATTTTCCTTTGCCTGTTTCAGTTTTTTTCCGATGCTGGGGTGCGCATCTTACAGCAACTTGCTTTTATGGGCTAATGGGTTAACCCCGCCAATTATACACGCATCCCAACTTTTCCACTTCACTCTACTTGTAGCAATGATGGCCCTAGTAACGTACAGTTTTCGCTAAAGTGTTTGACATTGAATGCATCTCCTGCTTTGTGATATTTCTATCTGTTGGCTAGGTCAAGTTACAAAACGCTACCAGGAATCTGTTCACTATCCTACACGGTAGCCAACCGTTTGACGCCATACGTTTCTCTCAACATACAGGCACCTCAATCATGGAAGTCTGGTTAACAGATTTAGGTCCGATATCAGGTTCCCTCCACCCCACTCGTCCTACATCATTGTGGCTCTTGCAGTTACTTCTTGGTTGTGCACCAATGATACACCTGTATGAGATACTGGTGCTGAAAGTCGTATCATAGATAAAGGATATCTATCCCTTGAATGAAGCAGACCCCATTTGTGACCTTAGGAAATACTATTAACTGGGTAGAAAAGCGCCACGCAGGTACGGTTACATAATGTTACGTAATGTCCTCATTCACGTTTTCCTTTGCCCGATTTCAAAATAGCAAGAAGGAGAAACATTTTAACAATATAATCCGAATCGGCTATTCTCAGCTACAGCCTACCTACAGTCTTTTGAACTATCTTGTAGCGTACAAAAGAAAACAGTGTTTAAGCTGCTTTGCTTTAAATTTGAGAAAACCAGTCACCTCAGTCTGTCTTGGTGAGGTCACTGATCTTTTCAGATTTAGACTGAATTATTTTTAACATTCTTTCCTCTTGTATACAACGCGATAGTCCCAAGGCATATAATGTATACTGTTGATGAGAATATCTAGATTCAGAGTAACCTGCTGAAATGTTGTTCCCTCCAGCTATTTTTTGTTATGATAATCATTTGGAGACGTCCTGTTCCATGCATTTCTATTTAACCAAACGAGTGTACACATGCGTCTTGATATATCTCTTAGTTCTAAACTAGCGGTCAATTTGGATACGATCATTCTGTCTTGGCACAGCAATGCGAAAAATACCACTTCTGAGAGGCTACACTGCTCCATAGAACAAGTCTTCGTTGGTCAACGGTCATTTGCCAGTACTTTTGTTTTCTATCCGCGGTTGATGGAGCGTAGACAACCGTCAGAACAAATATTCTGTGTCAAATCACGGAAAATTGTCAACGCGACGGACGATGTGAGTCAAGGTAGGAGGCGAACCTGTCAGGGAGGCAGCGTCACCTGATCAGCGAAGCCATGTACATGGACCGCAGCAGAGCAGTGGGTGAGAGTGAAGTTCATGTCTAGTACCACTCGGCGGCAGGTTGCACTTTGGCATCGGGTTGTCAACACTGTTTTCGACTATGCCACTGAGCGGTGTGTGTGAAAGCCCGGTAACCAGCTTTTTTCTAGTGCCCCTATACACTCCTGTTCCCGCATGGGGTAGCTCAATCGGTGTAGACCGCTCTGCTCTTGCAAAGGAAGCATTTCTTCCTGCACAGCCGCTTGCGCTACATCATATGAAGCTCTACGGGTGACAGATATTGAGTTAGAGACGGTTTCTAGGTCAATTAACCACGCGGGCCTGCAGTACGCCTTGCGACATTTCCGCCCTTCCAGGTCGCTTATGATTCTGGAGAAGTCCTTCTGGTCATTTCGTCGTACCTAAAGACGGCTAGTTCGACGGTGCACAACGGTTTGTGTGTCCCACTGGGCCATCGGTGTGTTAGACGGTGATGTTGTCTTCTGCTAGCTCCGAGTCCCAGCCGAAATCGGAAGCCATTGCCTGGAGGTAAAAGCGTGTTGTAGAAACAGATACCGAAAACTTGGGCCGATAGTGTAAAAGCAATAGACATTTATGAGTCAACTTAGGAATGTTCACATTTCAGGACAGCTAGGTTAGCTGACCTAATGAATAGTTCAGTTCCGCTAGTCAATGAAAAGGAAGATCGCGCATCATGCGACGGACGCAAATGTTTCCGAAACGCAGTGATGCTTTGACTGTACATCATTGACTCCAATCCTTTTCTCCTTGAAATAATGAGTCTCTTTGGGACACGGTGTATTCTCGGTGTTGTTACTTATACGCCTTGTCTATCACTTCTACAAGTTTAAGCAGTGATTTCAGGTTGTCCAAACTCCATTCCTTCACTTTTTTGACGTTTCCTTTGTCCGCGCGTCCTAAGTTTTCGCCTCTCACATACTACAACCTTAACAGTCGCGTAGCAACTCCATTGTCAAGTACTCCTTCGTACTTGTCCTTACAACCTATCTCGTACATCAGTGCCCGTTTTGTTCTCCTTTTCCTGCTCAATTTCGTGGATGAAATGGTTCTGTAAGATTGGATTTCCTCCGGCCTTGCTTACATTAATTGTTATCTCAGGCCGCTCGGTTCGTTCTCAACAAGTACCCACTTTTTTAGTCGTTACTGACCATCTACATTTGCCCAGTTGGTTGCTGTCGATGCTGGGCCTCTTGTTGGGCATCATGAAGTGTTAGTCAAAGAGCCTTCACTTGTTTTTTTCATCAGACTGATCCTTACAGCACCGTGCCTCATTGTAGTCATTTATCTGTGCGATGGATTCTGCGGACTGTAATCATCCGGCTCGCGATCGACCTCATATATTATCCTATTCATGCTCAAGTTGGCCTAAATGTCAGCGTTACGCTTATCGCCATCAGCGCCACACGAATACTTTGTATTGATCGCTTCGCTTCCGTGCAACCATTACAGTTCTAGCAAGAACTAGTAAGAGGTGAGAGATGAAGTTTCTAGTTCTGAATGCATAGAGCAGATATTTCTGACCAAGCTGCAAACACCTTGTCAACGCGACGCGACCACAAACAGGGGGATATCGATCGAAGTCACAATGGTCCTAGAGTGGACGCTTCACTTGGCTTTCAGTAATGTTTACCTTTCTCTTTACCACAGACAAACGTGCGTGCCTTACATCTCCAGCACTTCAGACACAGTGGTTTTCTAGCCTACCTTATAACTTTCCACTTATCGTGTGTTTCAATAGGTTTTGTTTGCTATTTCTCGTCCACTTGATCAAAGGCCCTGTGGAACAAAATTCCACCAACTTACAGACCTAATCGAGTGCGGTTTCGAAAAGCCGGATGTATCTACTTCGTTTTGTTTGGCTATAAACACCTTGCAACCCACGCTTGGTCACTGTCCGCGTTGGTTTCGCCTTTACAACCTCTGTATTCCTTTAATTACTTGATGTTTGTTCATAACACAAGCGAATTTCCTTCGATCGATCACGACTTTATACCTGATTTAATGTACCATCAATGGACAGTGGCGCATTATCGCGCGTCCCCTCCCCCTAGAAAATGGACGTCATCTCCCTCATATTTTCCTACGAGTGCACACAATTTCATTACTGGCAGTTGTTGTTGTTGTTGTTTTCCCTCTACATCTCCTCCACTTGTTCCCTCTTTTACTCGCCTAGACCCCTACTGCCATTCAACTTGGACACTCGCGGGAATCAAGGTCGCCGTGACAGGCCAATGCGATGATTGTACACAACAGATACTCTTTGCCTCTTGTATTTCCTTCGCATATCACCATGTGTTTTGCTTTGTTTCGTTCTCTCACCAAATCTCCTCCGTCCACTGAGCTGTGTCGCACTCAAGATGCCGCCATTTTTGCGCGTAGGCTTACCAAGGGATCGAGAGAATGCGCACCACTGACGAGCCTGAATAGGGCGGAACGCGTCTGCTGCTTTTCCGGGCTGGGCTGTGCTATCTAGCTTGTGAACTAATGGGATAAATACCTTTAAAGATCACCTCTAAAAATCCTGCTACTCACGAGTAATATAATCAAAGGTTATTTGACTGCAATCTTGTCAAACAGAAGCGCATATCATGGTCAGGCGAAGGCTGAATCAATGCTGCTGGAGACATGCTTCAGAGACGGTTGGATTTCTTTTCATAGTTATTTTTCAGCTAGACGTGTCATCTTGGCGTTACCTTGTCATCTATCTTAGAGTTCCACTTACACGAAAATGGAGAGGGATTCCAAGCTGACAGTCTGTTCAGGTGATCGCTTGATCAGACCGCTCCAAGCACATTTTATAGTCTATGACCCACTTTCAACAGTTGGAATATCTTTGGAACCGATCGGAAACTCATCGTTTTCGTAGGCTAAGTGAACGACTGGTGAATGTATTTGTTTGGCGCACGACGTTTCTCCTCTCACACAGAAGCTTCTGCAGGTAAAGAGAAGCAGATTCAAACTGAGTAACATTTCATGACGATCGTGGATAACTTGTATACACGAAGTAATCAGCTTGCAATTCAATAATAATAGGTTACACAAGCCATTAGATTCGCGTGCACTCTGGTCAGAGGAAACGGATAACTGTGAACGCGCTAAAGTTGAATGAGACAGAACAGGAAATTTGTATGCTTGCTTAGTCTTGGGTTTCAGCCGTGGGCCACATGGGGAACAAAAGTGTTGGTCGGAGAGCATTTACATAGACATATCGCGTTATCTTAATTAGTCCATTGCGATGAACTTGGTCAAATGACTGGTCACCATGCACTTGACAGCCTTACTCCATCTGTTCTATGCACGCAGTTGTTGGCTTTGGAGAATACCTTAGCTTGAGCAATCAGCCTTTGATGTGCTGATAACCTCGACATTTTCAAGGCCAATTTCCTGTCCTGTGTCTAGCGCATGCATAGCTACCGCCGAGTCTCTGAGCAGAACTCCGTACTCTAGTCCAGTGGTCATCAAACTTCTGTCACAGTGGGCCGGATTACCAACAAAATGACGACCGCATTCCGGAATCGATTTTTCTATAACGCTCGCAGGCCAAAATGTAAGCCCCGAACAAATACAAATAAACTAATTGATTGGAAAGTGAATTTGAAGTACACGTTGTGTGGATGGAGTGCAGTGGTTTCAGGCGGGCAACACCCAATTTGCTGCTACAAATAAACTAACTTCAGCCTTGCAAATTAAACTTGTGTGAGCGACGCATTATGTACAAACAAGTAAAAAATAGTTGATATATTTGTTAATTTAAAATATCAAGGGCATACGCAAAGATATGGCTATCTCAGAAGTTTAGTGCATACATCAGGATGCCACAAAGTAAACAACAATATGCCTAGGGAGATTTGTGAAACTGGACTTTGGCTTTCAAGATATCATCAACTTTTCGTTTGGAATGGCTGTATCCAATCAAGAGGATTGCATTCGAATGTTCATCAATCGGTGTCGTTGGATGAGTTCATATATTTCGTTTTTGCGATTGTCGGCTCACAGATATGTTATAAACGCAGATGCAATACCATCAGCCAACTACTTCAGTTCCGGAAATTCAGCCTCAGGTAAGCAATGGTAATATCCAACCACTTTTCCTTCTCCGTGCTTCCGTTTAAACAAGTCATTTGTCTGCAAATCAATTAGCTCTAATTGTAATTCAACTGGCGCATCATCAGTGTTGCAAACAAACGGATTCAGACACAGGAGGATTTGGACAAGCTCCAAAAATTTCTCGCAAAAAGGCTTATTCGTATCACGAATAATATATCACAGGGGTGCAGTTTCGGTGATCGTAAAGCTAAACTGTTTAAAACATTAAAAAACGTTTCTCCGTTGATGCTTCTGAGGGAATTACTATCGTTTTTATTGAGGAAAGCAGCCATGTCGTTTTGGCGCAAGTAAAAACGAAATAGCATTTTACTGCAACGGAGCCACCTCACCGATGTGTGACCAAAAAAATCACACAATTCAGAATCAATATCTTCCAAAAAAAGACTGAAACCAACGGTGATTGAGAACATGTTCCCGAATGAAGCCGACATTTGGAACTATCGGTTTCAGTACACAAGAATTATCCGACTTTTACCCACGGTGCACGTTGATGTAGGGTACTGTGTATGCACGGAGAGACCCGGATATCTAAATTTCCCAGCGGAGTTCGGATTTACCCTACCAGATCCCTCACTCCATTCTTCTTTCTCTCACCATCAGTTGTAACACTTGGAAGCCGATTCTACTAAAGGTTATGGTCACGGAAAATTTTGCGCAGTTCATTGAAAGTGCCCTTGCCAATTTTCTCTTTCCGTGCTTGCTGCCGACAGATGTCAAATCTTCCGTTATTCGAAACTCCGAAATAACAGCGAATGACCACGATGTTGTAGGGCATACTAGAAATCGCCATACTCATGTAGCTCTAGCGAATACCGCACAAGCTTTCCAAATTTCTCATGTACCTGCAGCAATATGTTCTATCCAATTTCTTATGTTCTCCGCACAACTGAACTTGATGAAGGGCTCGCACTTGTAAGCAACTTGACTTTGCTCGGACACAAATCATTCACAGATTCCATTATACACTGATTAAGTTGTCATCAGTAAATAGTTTTCCTTATCCTGCAATTTTTGCACTATTTTGTAACTAGTACGAGTGAGAGCTTCGTTTTCAGATAGTGTTCTTGTGAAGAGAATTCTTCACTTGTTCTGTTTCTTAATCACGCTGAAGAATGTTTTCTACCAAACGCCAACAAGTTCGTCGCATATTGCACTGCTGGTTTTCCGATCCATAATTTCTACAGACAAATTTTTTTGCTCCCTATTACTCATTGTAAACGCTACACTCGGTGTCCAGTTATCTCTTCCTAGTGGCCATAAGGAGCGGTGCAGTGAATAGCAGCCGAAAATGTGGAACGCATTGCATCGGAAACCTAATTTTACATCCTACTGGAGCCCAAGCAAAACAATTAGTTACTAGTCTCTGGTGAAGTTACGGTTCACAAATAAATAAATTAATGGTATATTCCTTTCGGTACGAGGCACAGTCCAACTATGTGGTCTTATCAATTTGCACTGCAGGATCGCACAAAAGACGTAATTGTTCAAGCCTTATACAATGGATCCAAAACGGATATTAATGTAATTGGTACATTTAAGGTGTTAAATTAATTGAAAAGTCGGGAAGAGCAAAAAATGCAGATCTAAACAAATGTTCACGTAAAGTAACATGACCGTCCGTGGAACCGTCTCCAGGGGACCTGCTTCCAAGCAGGATATTCCCTCGAAAGGTTTCACCCGCACTTCCATGCGCTCCCTGGCGGTGTATCGGTGTGGCAAACTAGCATACAAGCCATCACCTGTCTAATATATGTTGCGTTCCATTTAGGGCTGCTTTTATGCATACATTATGGGCGACGAAGCCTCAGCCCGGTCCATCATACGGATCATTCAGTTATGGCACTTTTTCATACATCAGTCACTTAGTGGCAACGTGCTTTGCATGAGTATAGTCTTGTATAATCTGGAACCTTCAAACCGCCACCTCAGGAGATCAGCCCAGTCGTGGCCAACAATAAAATAAGGAAGAACGTAAAGCAAGAAGAATTGAATGTAACAAGTATAATATAGCTAATGTCAAAAATAAGCAGATAACATGTATTACGGTACCGTAACACCGATCGAGCCGATCATATGATCAAATTGTGCGACGTGAGAGCCGAAGACATAACTGCACGAGTTGTCCATACGCAGAAAGGTACTAAAACGAATTTCCGGAGTCATTATTAGTAGCAGGTCTTCGTACAATAGGGAATCCAATATCGTCAATCACTGAACTCCGGTATGTGTTGCTGTGCTGTTAACTCCAGAAAAGTAGGGGCAGCGGTTAGCATTACAAAGCAAATTTAGAGATGCGAATCGCATAACCAATATTAGAAATTAGTCAGTTTCATGGGGGATTACGAAGACAGTTCCTGACCCCATCTAAACGCTCTACTGCGTATTATTGCCTGCAGGCGACAAGCAAATTGTCCGCCAACTTGCTTTCACAAAGTTGTTCATATTAAGAGTAAGTTCGCTTGATCGAACAGATATTTACGGTCTACTTCGATTGTCCGCCGTTCTGTTTTACCGCAAAATCGCCTTTTGAACTCCGAAACGGAGTGCTGATTTGGAAGAAAATCAGCAAGCTTTCGCTTTAGACTACAGATAATCCATGCAGTGAAAGGTTAATAAATAATATTGCTCTCGGTTTTAGATCAGAAGACAGTTGGTAGAAATTGTCTGTGTACAGTAAAATCGCATAAAAGGTTGCGTTAAAGAATATCATGTGAGGCGGTTGGAACAGCTCAACCTAGCTGATCAACTTTGCGCTGGTGCATTTGTTGAACATGTTTCCAGTCGATGTTCTCCGGTATCATACATGATCCGGCCCCTCTTCATCAACAAGTTGAATTCCAAAGATCCATTTCACGCTGTTCACGTGGAATTTATGACGCAGATTATAGATAACTTTGATACTATATCACATAGTGAGTGCTGCAAATATATGCATAGGGACGACCTAGATAAAAAGATTGCAGCAGTGGTTTTTAACTGCTGTTTTGTAAGTCGCAGTAGAGACAGACCGAAATCGTGTATACCCATCGCTTCCGCCGATATAGATTATCGCGGGCACTCTGCACCCTTCGCCGTCTCCACAGTCAGTATATATGTGATCAATCTGAACAGACGTCTATAGCATGCTTCACTT